GAGAGAGAGAGAGAGAGAGAGAGAGAGAGAGAGAAGCAAAAATGAAAGGAAAGCGTCGCGGCGGCGGCGGCGCGGGAGGCCCGGGAGGCGACGGTGGCGGCGGCTCTCGGGCCCGCACGTGGGTGTCCCGGTGCTGGGTGCGCTCCCCCCCACACCCGGCCCGGGACTCAAAGTTTCACCCCCTCGCCGCCCCGCCCCTACGGCTGCCCACAAACTTTATTCTCGGAGCGGGTGGGGTTGCTGCGCGTCCCAGCCGGCCGGGGGTGGGGGAAAGCTGAGCGCGCCGCTGGGGGGGCTGGGGGCGTCCCCGAGGGGCCACCGGCCGCCGCAAGCTGGGCGCCTCTGGACCCCCGCCCGGATGGCGTCGGGGCGCCGCGGGCCGGGGACTCAGGACCAGCGCTCGCTGGCTGGGGGCGTGGGGGTGGGGGTGGGGGTGGGGGTGGCGGGCGGGGTCCCCACCGCCCGTCTTGAGCCTCCAGCGGCTCGGCCCCCCCTTCCTCCTCGTCGCCTTCTCTCCGTCTTCTCGCGGTCATTTTCCTAATTGGATGGAGCTGTGGGGCGTGATCACCGGCGTCAGATCGGGGCCCTCAGGCTACCAGGTGGGCGCGCGGGCTCGGGGACCGACGGGGCAGCCCCAGTCTCCCCACCCTAGGCGCGCAGATCCCGCAGATCCGGCCCTTGGGCCGCCGCCCCCTTCACCGCGGACTTGCTAACTAGTGCGTATCGGGTTTTTTTCCAACTTGCCTTTTAAGATGACTTTTATGGGCGCTGCAACTGCTTCCCTCCAGTCTGAGCTGTAGTTTGGAAACATTTAAGAGGCCAGGGAGGTGCTTGTGTGGATTTTAACTAACCCGAAAGGGTCATTCATGTATATCTAGGCTTTGCGAGACGGTTAGGGCAAGTCGTAGCAGTATCCTGGGTGCCTTTTCTTTTTTCTTTCTTTCTTTCTTTTTTTTTTTTTTTTGGATACAGAGTCTTGCTCTGTCGCCCAGGCTGGAGTGCAGTGGCGCTGCAACCTCCGCCTCCCGGGTTCAAGCGATTCTCCTGCCTCAACCTCCCCAGTAGCTGGGACTACAGGCGCACGCCACCACGCCCGTTTAATTTTTGTATTTTTAGGAGAGACGGGGTTTCACCATATTGGCCAGGCTGGTCTCAAACTCCTGACCTCGTGATCCGCCCACTCTGGCCTCCCAAAGTGCTGGGATCACAGGGACACCTCGAGGTGCTCATCCTACCGGGTCTGAGGGGGGGCCTGCTGGGCAATCCAGTGAGGGAGCAACGTCATCGGCCCACCCTTGAGCTGCAGACCGAGTGCCCACCTGCAAAGGGCACCCTGAGCACCTTTCTTGCTGTGCAAAATGGGAACTCCCGGCCGGTATCGACCTGCAGGGTACATAACTAGTCCCTGTGGGTGCCTGGGAAATTCACAAAACTCCCCGACAGGTGTGCGGAGAAGGACTTTGTGCTCTTGGGGGTCACTCAGCCAGCTTTGAAGCTGCCCTCTCAGTCCTGCCTTTGTACACGTGTAAGTAAAACCAAAGTTCATTTTTGCCAAGTAGAGTACTGGGGGTCTGTGTCCCTATTGCATCTTCTCCAGGGGGCCTAGAGAACCAATGGGGCCACATGGGAGAAGGGAAGAAGAAAACTGTTCTTAACTCATTAGATAAGAGAGAATGTATTCCTAATGTGATCAAAGCCGATGGGGCTCTCTGGTTTTGACTTCGGAAACCTAGAGTGGCCATTCCTTTCTCGTTTGTTTTAAACAGAATGTTATTTTTTATACTTTCTCGGTGGTTTTATCAGCTGACCCTCAGCAAGTAACTCCATGCCGGGTACTTGCCAGTCTTGGAGCAGAACCTCTGATTGGTCATCTATAGCTCCAGAGAGGTGCCCACCTGGTGCCCCAGTGATCTTTTGGAGCTGGCTTTCCTGCATGAGAGCCGTGGGGATAGAGCTGCTTTCTTTTGGGTAGGGGGAATTGGATGTTTGGGTCACATTTTCTTTCTTCAGCCTGGCCTGGTTGCCTGTGTCTCGGTGGAGGGGGCTGCAGGGAGTTGGGGACCCAGGCTCACTTGCTTGTCTTCTCCTCAGAGCTGATACCTGGGTGAGTCTTCAGCCCACGGTGTGTGGTCAGCGGGCCATTTTTTCAGGGCTTGGGTCATTTCCATTCCAACCAGGCATTTCCTACCAGGGAGACTTATTTTAGGCTCACTGTCTAGAGACAAGGAGACAGACAAGGTCTGGAATGGTTTTTGAGTTGGAGGAAGGGAGACTAATGGGACCACCAGAGATTTTGCACTTCTATTTTAGGTTTGCCTTGTGGCCCAGAGATATTTCTAGCAGAGTTGTGTTTGGAAAGAGGCACAACTCCTTTCTAGAAGGGAGTAAATAAATAAATAAAAGGAGGAGTCCAGTGCATCTTGGAGGAGACAGGTGAAGGCTCCCTGGCCCCACCAGTGCTAATGCTTGGCACAGGCTCATCATCTGGCTTGCTGACCCATCCCATACCCCCATTCCTCAGGCCTAGCCAGGGCCTAGGCCAGGGCAGGACTCATTGTGTTGAAATAGAGGATCTGTGAATGTGCTGGGTCTGGTGTTAATGGTGGTTGATCCCAGCCCTTTGACTTCAAAGCTGGAAGAAGGCCTTAGAGATTGTCTGAAAGCAACTGAGGCAGGAAGAAAGCTCTGTACCCAGGATTACACAGTAAGTGGCAGAGCCAGCACTCAAACCTGAGCTTTCAGAGCCTGTTCCCAGTGCTGTTTCTACAAGGCCACTGTCTCTGCTACTGCTGGGGATCCCGAATCAAGCTCACTTCAAAGAATGTAGCTATGAGAGCATGAAACCGTGGGCTCGTGCTGCACACATGAGACGGGTAAATGGAGCGCCTCATTTTCCAGATGTGTTACACAAACTATGCTGGAGGATGTGACTGGCCAGTGAGACAACTAGGGGGAACTGGGTGATTCAGGCTGTTTCAACATTGACTTCTTCAAAGTCCAACAATCAGAGAAGCAGTTTAGTCATTGGGATTTTCTCACATCACACCATTTTTTGATCTGGAATGCTTTCTTCGTACTTTGACTTGTATGTGATTTATTTAGGATTGGTCAGGAGAGAAGAGAAGGAATATAAGGACCCAAGACCTGAACTGATCTCCATCTGTGGGTTAAATGTACTACAACGTTCGTGAGGGTAGACGTCTTTGTTTTGTTCATTGCTGAGTCCCTGTGCCTAGAATAGGGTCTCATCCATAGTGGGCCCTCAGTAGATACTTGCTGAATGAATGTACTGGACATTAGGAAAGGATTTACCTCCCAGAAGGAACCCATGAATGACACAGGCAGGGACAGGAAGGTGATTGATGGGAGCTGCAGAGTTGTGCTGTGAGTCATTGCTTCAAACAAGCTCCAGACAGGTGAGGCAGGAGGGGGCTGGAAAGAGAGGATCCTGAATGGGGTGGAGCCCCTGGGTGGAGACTTGTGCAAAACAATAGGTTTTTTTAGACTTTTTTTTTTTTGGAATGGAGTCTCGCTCTTTCACCAGGCTGGAGTGCAGTGGTGCAATCTCGGCTCACTGCAACCTTCACCTCCCAGGTTCAAGTGATTCTCCTGCCTCAGCCTCCTGAGTAGCTGGGACTACAGGCGTGCACCACTACACCCAGCTAATTTTTGTATTTTTAGTAGAGATGAGGTTTCACCATGTTGGCCAGGATGGTCTCCATCTCTTGACCTCGTGATCCGCCCGCCTCGGCCTCCCAAAGTGCTGGGATTACAGGCGTGAGCCACTTGCCCAGCCTAAAACAATAGGTTTTGAATTGGACTCAGGATATAGGGAGAATAATAATAATCATGTGTCTTAGGCCAGAATTATGCTACGTGCTTTGTGTATTTGTCTCTGTTAGTCCTTGCAGGTGCTGGCTCTTGCATTCTTATTCTCATTTGGCAGAGGAGTTAAATAACTTGTCCAAGGGCACAGAGCTGGTATCTAAATCCAGGCTGTCTAACTTCAAACTTTGCCTCCCAGGAACAACAATGTGGTCATATATCTCTGCCCATGCCAAAGAGTTGGGCATTCAGCACTCCGGGGTTCCTTGAAAGGACAGCAGCAGAAAAACTAAAGATATTGTGGGTCTGCAGCAGAGGGAGGCTGGTCAGGGAGTGTGCCCGAAGAGGGTTCATCCAGTGAGGCCTATAAGGGAATGCTTATTTTAGGGGCCTAACTATTCCTCAAGCAGAGTGGCTATTGTGAGATCAGGGCTATTTTGCACTTGATAAAGATGTAGGAGATCTTTTTATGGGCAAAGATTGCTTTTCAGCTTAAAGTTTAGTTGGCATACATTTGAAACTAGTGGGAATTTTAAAGCTAAGAAATGTCCTTGTTGGCCTTGATACCATCAGAGGCTGTTTCCCACATGTGTAAATGTTACCTGCCTACTCCAGGATGCTGGCCCAGCCTGTTCCAGACCACAGCAGCTCCTCGTTCATTGGCAGTCTGTGATGTGCTAGACACTGTGCAGGTCCTGTCCTCGTGAAGCTTGCAGTCTCCCTGGGAGGCAGGCATTAAACTAATAATTACACAAATACTCTTTAATTACAGTTGTTATAAATGCTTCAAAGGAAAAAGTACGGAGGCATAGAAGCCAGTAATCATGGAGAGGGGGAAGGGAAGCTTTCCTGAAGAAAGGGCATTTAAATAGCCACCTGCAGTGTGGATGAAGAGGCTTTAACCAGGGTGGTACAGTTCATTAACCTTGATGTGAACCTTGCAACTCCATATGTGGTCCATGGACCAGCATCAGCATTACCTGGTAGTGAGTTAGAAATGCAGAGTCCCGGGCTTCTCAGCAAACCTACTGGATCTGCATTTTAATTCACATGCATGGTAATGTCTGTAAAGCACTGATGGACTCAAAAGTACTGAAATGCTCTCAATGAGTTCTCAGCTTTGCTGGGAGCTCATTGGATGACCCAGGGAAAGTCACCCAGGGTGACTTCTTTGATCTTTGGCTTTTTCCAGTTTGTGCTGTCTCCCTTCTTGTTGAGGGTGACCCACCCCTGTGTTGCTGTTGGTGGAGACCCTGCAGACACTAGTCCATGCTCTGGTCTGACTTCTGTAAGCACTGAAGATGGGCTGAACCATCAGAGCTTTTGATAAGGATCAGAATAATTCCCTAAAAGTGTGTGGAGCTGCACACAGAGATTGTCTTAAGGTGACCCTGGGAGGATTTGGCCTGAAGCAAGAGAAAAACTGGCAAGGGTCAAAAGGGCTTTGGGGAAGAAAGGTATAATGTTTCTGCCAAAAGTGGAACCTAAAACGGGGAGTGAGAGGCACCTGCTCAATAGTTCCATGCATGGGAACATAATACTTTTAAGAATTGCCTCAGACTTTTATCCCTGAGACCTTCACATTACTGTAGAGAAGACCAGAGGGTTGAAATCGGGGGTCCTGGACTCTTGCAGTGTGTGGGTGGGCTTCGAGGGTCAGGGATACTTGAAACTGTGCAGAAGGTTACATGTGTGCACTTTTCTGGGAAGAGGACCCATAGCTTTCACTGACCAGCTCTAAGAATTAGTCAAATGTCTTACTTGACTAACCTCACCCAGTTCTTTTGTTATACAGCACATACTATATGCCAGGCATAATTGTAAGCACTCTACACATACTGTTAGCTCATTTAGATTGAATACCTTTCTGGAGGTCACAGATCTAGTAAGC